TGAAGCCTCATGAGAACGCAACCTCCGGAGTATAAACCGCACACATGGGGAATGCCCGTGCCACTGTCTGGCACAAACGGTGTGGTATCCGGAACACTCAAACCTCTGCTTGATATGGGACGTGGAGGAAGTTAGGTCAATCGGATTACCCGATCATCGGCAGAAGGTGACTCTCCTGGTAGCAAGTTCAATGCTGGCGTTGCGATGGATCGGGGAAAACGTGACGAAATATCGGGAGTCGAAGACACCGACAGCGGAATCGATACACGCTATTGATTACAGCAGGAGACTTGAGTTGTTTGAGACTGCATGCAAGGTATTCGCCATACCAATGGGAACCGGAACCTCTGCTTGAAGCCTCATGAGAACGCAACCTCCGGAGTATAAACCGCACACATGGGGAATGCCCGTGCCACTGTCTGGCACAAACGGTGTGGTATCCGGAACACTCAAACCTTTGCTTGATATGGGACGTGGAGGAAGTTAGGACAATCGGATTACCCGATTATCGGCAGAAGGTGACCATCTTGGTAGTGAGCACAATGTTGGCGTTGCGATGGATCGAGGAGAAGGTGACGAAATATCGGGAGTCGAAGACACCGACAGCGGAACCGATAAACGCTATTGATTATAGCAGGAGACTTGAGTTGTTTGAGACTGCGTGAAAGGTATTCGCCATACCAATGGGAACCGGAACCTCTGCTTGAAGCCTCATGAGAACGCAACCTCCGGAGTATAAACCGCACACATGGGGAATGCCCGTGCCACTGTCTGGCACAAACGGTGTGGTATCCGGAACACTCAAACCTTTGCTTGATATGGGACGTGGAGGAAGTTAGGTCAATCGGATTACCCGATTATCGGCAGAAGGTGACCATCTTGGTAGTGAGCACAATGTTGGCGTTGCGATGGATCGAGGAGAAGGTGACGAAATATCGGGAGTCGAAGACACCGACAGCGGAACCGATAAACGCTATTGATTATAGCAGGAGACTTGAGTTGTTTGAGACTGCGTGAAAGGTATTCGCCATACCAATGGGAACCGGAACCTCTGCTTGAAGCCTCATGAGAACGCAACCTCCGGAGTATAAACCGCACACATGGGGAATGCCCGTACCACTGTCTGGCACAAACGGTGTGGTATCCGGAACACTCAAACCTCTGCTTGATATGGGACGTGGAGGAAGTTAGGTCAATCGGATTACCCGATCATCGGCAGAAGGTGACTCTCCTGGTAGCAAGTTCAATGCTGGCGTTGCGATGGATCGGGGAAAACGTGACGAAATATCGGGAGTCGAAGACACCGACAGCGGAATCGATACACGCTATTGATTACAGCAGGAGACTTGAGTTGTTTGAGACTGCATGCAAGGTATTCGCCATACCACGGAGGTCAGGCACGTATGAAGCCTCATGAGGTTCTTCCCGTAGTTCCACTGGCGTCTTGGTTGTATATGGTGACGAAGGATCATATGAAGAAACATCAGAAAGAATATCGGCAGTTCCTGGCGGAGATAGGGCCGGAAACCTTCAAAATACCTTTGCTGACACACCGAAATGCGATCACGACAGATTGGAAAAGAGTCGGTAGGGAGTCTAGAGATAATAGCAAGGCGAGGGAATTGATACTGGAGGAGGACTTGGCGAAGAACGTGAGCCTGAGCCTGCAAAATTCCTTTTGCTTGAACAGGGAATCGAAAGTGAAGGGTTTGCCAAACCAGGCAAAGAGGTTGCAAGAGCAGAGGGAGTGGGTGCAATCCTTCGAACAACTAAAAGCGTGGGAAGAGATCGTAATCAGTTCCGATGATGAGGAAGCGCTATTAAGGCAGATCACGGTGTTAAACACATCAGGGCCTAGCACCTCAAAGGCCACCAAAACGAAATGAGCAGGAGGTTCAGTGAGGGTTTCTTGAGTCTTGAGAGAGGAAGGAAAGGGACTCGAGTGTGAATTCGGATGAAATCTGAGGTCACGAAAAAATTTTTTTAACGAAACCAAATATTGTTATTGATATGATATAATTATTATATAAATCGAAATGCTGCATGACAATTTTCTGATTGGATAAGACAAAAGAAATTTTAATCATTAGCTTGCAAAGCGGAAATTTAAAGTGCAGGTGTATGTTGATTTTGATTGCTGTTCAGCGATAGTATGAAAATTTTGCATGGTTGTAAATTTTGAGGTGTAGATAAAGTTAAATCTGCTGCAAACTTCTGTAAATGACCACTGGCACTGTATCTTGAGCATCACTCAACATTCTGGGGATTCACTGGCAGACGGCAACACGCGATGAGGACATCGATCTTGAGTCCAGGGATTATGTGCCAGTCGGTCATATTTGGAAGTTTGACCTTGAGCAAGAAAACAATGTAATTTTGGGGTGAAATGGGTTTTTTCAAAAATTCGATTTGAGCCTGTCATGCTCAACTTTCTCGCATCAATTGAAAATCACAGAAATACAAGATCAAAACAATCAAACTACAATCGCGGAAAAGTGGTCGGAAAAGCAGCGGGAAATTGCTATTCGCAATTTCCAGACATAAAATCACACTAGAGTAGAGCTGTCTGATCCTGAAATAGGAGACAGAACGATTACGAGAAGAGAAGATTTTAATTAGAAGTCGACCAGAGTGAACCTTCGGTGGAAAGGTGGATAACCGAAAACTCCCAATGGTCCAGCCCCAAAACTTATTTCTCAAGTTAAAACTCATTTCTTTTGCTTTTCATTAATCAAAAACTTCTTGATTTAAAACTTAATTCCCTTTAAGGCTAGAGTTGCTGATTAATTTAGTTACTCCAATTCTCGAGAGTGCTGGTATGTGAGTACCCAATTTAGTTTTCTTGAGTGTGTTTTTTGATTGTTATGTTGAGTTAAGGAGAGTTTTAGGTTGATCCATCTGAAATGGATGAAAGTTCCACTGTCTAATAAAAAACAACTATACGGACTGTTCCGACCCTGTTTTTAACGACGTTCGCGTATTTTAGGTATTTTGAGACCTAAGTATGGGGACGTTCTTATTTGCTAGAGTGGGGGGTATTTTGGTAGTGGCCTTTAAGCTGTAACGAGGGTTTAAATCTCATCCAGCAAGTGAACCTAATTGGCTCCGACCGTTCGAGGTAGAAAAACACAAGAGATAGTGTCCCTGACTCTTGAGCCAGTGGTTACAGGGCCTATTTTTCTTTAACCTCATATGTGACTTAAGTAGGCGACTGTTACAAATGTTTTCAAGGTTCTCGGAGTACTACTTTATAGTCGTCGGCTAAATTTCCGTCATCTAATATCAAATGTTAATTTTCGACTCCAATTGTTTGACTAGTGTATGTATTGTTTCCGCAAAAAGGGGCGGGGCTTCAGGATCACCTTAATGAGTTCCGTCTTCTGACATTATGACAGAGCTTCCTTTAAAAAACAACTAGGTTTGCCATACGCGTAATGGGTGTAACTATACAATTCGGGGCGATTTGAATAAACATGATTCAGCATTGTTTCTCTATTTAGAGAGTTAAAGGCATTCCTAAAATCTAGTTTCAAAAGAACAGTGAACTTTGGGTTGTCGTCGCATTCAATTAGGCTTCGAAACGAGTGTGCAGCTATTTCTGCTCCTCGTTCGGTACCGCATCCTACCTGTATGTTTCCAAAAAAATTTTGTCGCTCGGAGAGGGCCTTGCTTCCATTGCATTTAGACGCGATACGTCTCAGCGTGTTGCCTATGACAATCGGTCTCAACCCTCCGTCTATCTTTATGAGGGCGATAAGCTTTGCGCCAAAAAAGGCCTTAGGGGTTCGGGTATTTTGCGATCTCCAATGAGGTTTATCAGCTTATTAAGCGATTTCAGAAAATTAGGTCCTGCACTGCCATTCGACTTACTAACAAGATCTTTAAAAATTTGAGGAACTATTTTATCAGGAACTGCTGCTGATCCGTTCGCAAAGGATATTATCGCTTTGTATAGATCAAAATCGGTCACAAAAAAACTATCCAAATTTTCTGGAATTAGAGCTGCAATCGCTGAGGGTGCTTAGTCAACAATTTTTGATAGTGATCAGTTGAAAAAGGAGCAATTTTTGTCATCCGAAGCAGCAAGCATTATTCCTCCCTTTACATTTCCTTCATCGAGCTTACTGCTTATTAGCTTTATTCTCTGCTCGAGGTCACTCAGAGGCGGGCTTGAAACTTGGTGATGGGGTTTTGGAAGTGACACGTCATTTGCTCGAATTTTTTTATTTATCAAAGAGCCTATGCTTGTGGTCTGTTTGCGTCCACTACTTTTCGGTTGCTCCAAAAAAACAGAAACGACGTTAACAAAATTAGCTATTTTGTAACATCTTCTACATTGTAGACGATGTCATTTATTTTGTCCGACAGGCTTTCCGCCAAGGAAACACGCGAGTCTTTTGGTACTCTCTTGAGTACTCGGGCGATTGAGATGGCTGTATTAACATGATTGTCTAGCACTAAATCATTACCCATTGTTGCTTTATTAACAGATTTTACATGAACGCATAAAAGACACTGAAACCATTGGGTTTTCTTAGAGTCGCTAAGAGAAATATTTACACAACTGGTATGATACCAACTAGAACAACAATCACATCTAATCCAATTTATCAGTCCTGAAGGTTTTAAGCAATCTTTGCTTGTACACTCTTTGTTGTTTTTCCTCATCTTGACGCAGCATAGAGGTGGAAAAAAAGGATTTTGACTGGAATTTAAGGGACTGAACTAACCCATGATAAGCGGTTAGTGGGACTTTTATAAATCAGCAAATAAAAAAATAAAAGACAATTAAATTAATTTAAATTTAAAAACGAATTAAAGAAATCAAAAATATGGAAGAATCTCACCTGAGCTCAGTAGGTCCAGCGGTGCACCACCGGAACCAGAGCTCTTCAAGCCATTTCCAGTTTCCCACCTCCACACAAAAAGCCACTTGACAGACCTGTCCCCAAAATCCCTCAGAGGGCGCTCCACAAACAGGCACAAACATCAGACATAACAAATCTATTTAATAAGTTTATCACAACAATTAAGCTAAATTAAGGGCCCTCAAACGAAATTATAATCGATTATAATGTAAATGCAGGTGCGGCTTTAGGATTTTCTCGAAGGGAGATGAGGGACAAATGTTTTTAAAAAAACAGGTCAAAACGCCGTTTTTAGGATTTTTTGAAAACTTTGACCAAAAAATTGCGTTTTCAGCGCGTGCACCTCTTTAAAATTACCATATAATGTTAATTTAGGGTTTGTCGGCCGGAAATGGATATCATAATTTATACCAAAGAGGGAACCTTTAGTTGGTGAGGGGGTCGAAACCCTGTAGTAGTAGAACTTTTGTTGTATTAATTCAATGAGAGAAAAAAAAATAGCCGATCAAATCTCTTAAAAATGCTCAGAAATTTGTTAGCTATCAAGTTGTAAAATTTTGAGTTCTTTTTTTGTCCAAGCAAAAAGCGTCACAATTTAGTGAAGAATTGTTTGATTTATTTTAATTAAAACCGGAGGTATTTTGTTTTTTCGGCTATCCTGGAGTGCGGCTCCGTGGGTACGCACCAAAAAATTATTCAAAAAAATGCTGCCATGCATCGTCAATTGTTGTAAAGCTTCTTTGACTAACACTAAATTCGACTCAGATATCCTTAATTAATGAAACTTCGAAACAATATGAAATTAACATGGCTTCTGAATGGGTCAAATGATGAAGGACCAGTGTAGCTCTTGCAGTTTTTTTTTGCAGTTTCAGTTGTCGCGAAATCTCTAATTGTCACGTGTCTTTCACACTCAAATTGAGTTTTTAAAAATCAGAATGTCAGGCCAAGTTAACCATTCCTTATTCATCAAATTGTCAGATTGACACCACTAATCCGCCAAAACCGCCAATTTTCTAACTCAGATGCTAAAACAAAAATTCGAATTCGAAATGCATTTTGACGGCATTCTGGTCGAATGTCACATACTCCCCGGACAGCCCGGTTAATGTCTTCATTGAGTCTCGCAGTATTCATCAAAATGGTACACTGCCATAAAACAGAACTTACAAAATGCATTAAACCACTTTTATCCACATCACATCGACTCACCGCAGAATATAAATGGTATCATACTACACTGTTATAGCCTTCCAAATTCTTTCATTAACATGTACTTTCAAGGATATGACCCAGGATAAAGATATCTTTTCTGAATTTTAATGCCAATGTTTCGATTTAAAATTTTTTCTCCTAGGTTTAAAAAAATGTTGGGACGCAGGACGGTCCCGCCAACCAACAAACTAAAATTATCCTACTATGCTTCTTCCCTTCGAAATTTAGTTGTTTTTGGTTCAGAATAATAAAATTAAGGAACTCGGTGGTTAGAAAGAACAATGAAATAATCTGCCTCTTCAAGAGATTGCCCAAGCACTTCTTATCACCACAAAGTGATCACGTCTTAGTTGATTTAAAACAATCATGCAGACTAGAGTATTTATTATACTCTTCACTCAAGCCTCTCTAGATAAATAGTAAGTGTCTCTTAAGCCACTAACTGAAATTACAATGCAAATATATAAATGCAACAAACTCTTAACTTCAAAAAACAACTAAAAGTTTTCTTTCATTCAGTTTCAACTACAAGCTTAGTTGTTTAGTTTATCAATTGAGTTTTTCTCACATAAACAATTCTGAGATTTAACATCCTCTCCTTCGTTGCCTCTTTGCTCACTTCTTCGTTCACTTCTTTGTTTTCTTTTTTATTCTCGTCGTTTAGAAGTTCTAAAACTTCTAAATTCTTCTAAATTTTCTTTTTTTTGCATCTTGTTTTTCGGCTATTTGTCAATGCTCCATATACTCCTCCTGTGACTTTGACTCAGCATTTTCAGATTTAGTGTCTTGCAACATGACGGTGGGCTATCCTGTCGCTGTTGGAGGCAGTCTTCCAACACTTTTGCTCTTCTACCCTTTGTTTGCAACAAGGTAGAGTATCTACGCTCGTCTACCTGTTTCTGCAGAAGCTGTTGTAGAGGCACAACGTCACGTTTCTCTCTAGGCCTTCCTTCAACATTTCTTCTTTTTCTCTCCCGTCACACTCATTTGTTCTAGACGTTTTTTCAATGTGTTAGTCACTGCAGTCCGATGAGTTACAAAAGCTCGCTTGAAAGCACCTGCTGCAATGTCCAGCTGATATGCACTGTACACCCTGCCCGTGCTTCGACATATGCTTCTTGGCATACTCGTACAACCATGCAGTCATGTTGGCTCTAAACCATGGCATCAGTCGTCTTCTGTTCCATATATTCTTCACTTCCATCGGAAGGTTTAAGATCTCGCACATTGTCTCAAAAAGATCTAAGTCTTTTAGAAAATCCCGTTCCTGCAGTTGTTCTTTCGTCGGCCTCTCCTATCGATTGTTCTCCTTTAGATGAGCTTTCAGCCATCCAATTGCCATCATAACTCCTACTATCACTATCGTTATGGGATGTGATGAATCTCGTAAACTCATGGAGAGCAGCTCTCCAGAGTCCCAGATCAACACCAGATTACTGCGCCCGGGATACCACCGTGTTTGTAGCAAGCAATGGCAGGGGAACTCATCATGTGTCAACATGATGCTCCTTCAGTTACGTTTCCCCGACGCTTCCAGTAGTAGTTCCACTTCCATCATTGCTCGGTGGATTCCGTCGTCTTCATCTACTGCGTTGTAATCTGTTGCCGTCAATCCTTTCTGCTTCTGTCTTTCAAAATCACTAAATTTCACACTAGCGTATCCCAAGAACTTCTTTCCCAGTTTTAGTTCTAATTCTTCTTTGGTTCGTTTTGGAACAGCTGCAAGCATCTTACATAGCAATTCGTACGATTTCTGCGACATTCTAGCTAATCTTAAATAATTCGACACTGAGAAGGTTTGGTCAACAATCGTCCTTGTACAATTCACATCCACTGTCACAAAGTGCACTGCGTATCGGCTTTTGCCCATCGGAGCCAACGTCAACCCCTCTAGGTATCGCGCTCCCGAAGGTCTGCGATAAGCTCAAGACTCAGGGACACTATGTTTTGTGTTTTTCTACCTCAAGCGGTTGGAGCCAATTCGGTTCACTTGTGACATGAGACTAAAACCCGCGTTACAGCTTAAAGGCTACTACCAATATACCCCCTCACTCTAGAAAAAAAGCCCCCATACTTAGGTTTCGAAATACCTAAAATTAACGAACGCCGTTAAAAACAGGGTCGGAACCTTATGTATAGTTACTTTTTATTAGAAAGTGGACCTTTGATCCATTTCAGATGGATCAACTTAAAAACTCTCCCTAGCTCAACATAACAATGTAAAACACACTCACAAAAATTAAATTTGGTACTAACATATCGACACGACCTCTAGAATCGAGTAACTAAACTATAAAGCAACTCTAGAATTGATTGGTAATTAAGTTTAACTCGAGAAGTTTGCAATGATTTAGTTTTAGCGCAAGAAATAAATTTTGGGTCGGGACCATTGAGAGACTTCGGTTGTCCACCTTTCCACCGAAGATTCATTCTGGTCCACTCGAATTTACTCTCCCTTCACTCGTGATAACTCTCTGTCTCCTGCCAAGAATAATACAGCCTTACTCTTGTTCAAATTATGTATCGGAAACCGCGAATAGCAATTTCCCGCTGCTATTTTTGACTACTTTCCCGCGATTGTAGTTCAAATGTTCTGTTCTTTTTTTTCTGATATTTTCAGATGTCGCGAGAAACTTGAGCATAACATGCTCAATTCGAATTTTTGAAACATTGCATTTCACCCCAAAATCAAGACTAAACGTTTTTCTCAAGGTCAAACTTCCGAATGGCACAAATGAAAAGATTTGTTATTGGATTTATTTTAATTTAGTTGTTTTCTCAAGCTAATTTTTAAAACCTGCAGAAGCACTAACAATTACGTGAACTTTTGCTTATCTTACAGTTTAAATGTTTTCAATTAAATTTTCACAAAATTTACGAGATAGGAATAAAAGTGTAAATTACAAACAATTTCTAACATCTGTCCATCATCAGGTTCAAAAGAATTGAAATTTGACGAAATGATCATCAACCATGGAGTTATCTTTATGATATTTTTTAAAAATATTCTTATGAACCATGACCATAGTGTAAAAATATGACGTTTTTAAAGCACTTACAAGCGAAAACGTTCGTTATTTACGTTTCTAATTCTTTTATCTCCTTTTGTAAATTTCGGGATAAATTAATCAAAAACGTTGTAACATTCGCCCGGAAATACATATTGACGGGAAAAAGCTAGGTTTTAAAACGACTGGCAAGCGTCTAAACACAGCTCTACATGCTTTTAACCGTCTCTGCCGAGGCCAGTTCTTTGTGTGGTCCTTTCAACATCGGGTCGACAAAAAAGTTACTGTTTCCGGCTTCGGCCAGAACGCTCAGATTAACTTGGTTGTATGCAAAATTTGTGAGCTCATGACTGGATCTCAATATCCCCAGACCACGAGGTCACTTCTAAAAACAGGGCTACTACTTATTTATTATTTTTCTATTGTTTTTATTCAGTAGATAAAAATCATCATTCCCATCGGAGATGGATCAACCCTTTCACTCAACTCCTAGCTTCTCATTATCTGTTCGATGATAAGCTAAAGAGGAAGCTCAGGAAGCTAAAAAATTCTTCCAATAATGGTAGCTAAAAATCCTCAGGAAGCTAAAAATTACTTTCAATAAAGTTTGAGTTCTCTTCCCGAGACCCTTGCGGATTCTTGAATCCGGAAGAAGAGCTGTTTTATCTCTTTCCGGAAGGCTGGTCACGTCGTCCCAACACTCCTTCCTGGTTCTCAAAAAATTGCTTTGTAACGATTGTAGCCACACAATCATCATAAATCGGAATGGTCTTCTAACAGTTGTTCCTATTTCAATTTCGATCAGTATCGCACAATTGCCGTTCACCTGTTCTGGTCCAACGAATACTGTTGTTGTTTTTTTCGCAGTTTCAATTGTCGCGAAATCTCTAATTATCACGTGTCTTTCACGCTCAAATTGAATTTTTAAAAATCAGAATGT